CGGGGGGGCCTCCGCTGCCACTGCTGGATGCGCTGCGGCAGGATCTCGTAGATCCGGCTGCGGGGGAGGGACAGACGCCGCTGTGGGAGCCGAGCCGGGGCTGGGCCCCCTCGGCCCTAGTCCGCCCGCGTGCGGAATAACTGCTGTTCCGTGCACCGAGGCGCATGCAGAGGGGCACCCCCAGGGGAAACGCGGATCAGCTGGCTGGCACTGGGATCTCGGCCAAGCGGCCGCAAGAGCGCCCAGCTCCCAGGAAGCCCTGGCTGTGGGCTGAGCCTGGCGGGGCCCCCATCGGGCTGAGCTGGAGAGGGGTACAGGACTGGTGGGGCCCTGTGGGCCTGACTGGGGGAGGATGCAGGCCTGCATGCAGAGGGGCACCCCCAGGGGAAACGCGGATCAGCTGGCTGGCACTGGGATCTCGGCCAAGCGGCCGCAAGAGCGCCCAGCTCCCAGGAAGCCCTGGCTGTGGGCTGAGCCTGGCGGGGCCCCCATCGGGCTGAGCTGGAGAGGGGTACAGGACTGGTGGGGCCCTGTGGGCCTGACTGGGGGAGGATGCAGGCCTGGGGGGACCTGGGGGTCTGCTGCAGCAGGGATATGGGGCAGGCGGGACCCCGAGGGGCTGCCCCAGGTCGGCAGGATACCAGGAAGCCCCACGGACCAGCTCTGGGATGGGTATCGTCCATGGGACTTGGGGCGCCCCTGAGAGTCTGACCGAGGGCAGGGGGGGACTGGGCCTACCAGGGCCATGGGGTGACCCCGGGGCCGGGCCACGGGGGGGCCAGCGCTCACTTGGCAGCCAGCTTCATGCCGCACTCCTCGGAGCAGTACTTGGACGCCAGCCGGGCGGGCTGGACGCAGCCGGGGCCCAGGCACTGGTGCAGCGAGGCCGGGTCCTTGGCGTCTGGCCGTTCCGTGTGCCGCGACCGGTCCCGGTGCTTCTGCTTCTGCTTGTGGCGCTTGTACTTCTCCTCCTTCTGCCGGGGGGGGGGGGGGGGGCGACACCGTGCC